TAAGGCTTTTGACCCTGTCTTCTCTAACATCCTCACACAGCAACCCAGCCCAGAGGGTTGTGATCAGTGGTACAAGGTCCAGTTGGAGGCCAGTCACTAGTGGTGTACCTCAGGGGCCTGTACTGGGACTGGCACTCTTCCACATCTTCATTAATGACCTGGATGATGATGCAGAGTGCACTCCTGAGAAGTTTGTAGGTGATGAAAAACCTGGGAAGAGTGGCTGATGAGCCAGGGGGTTGTGCTGCCATAGAGAGAGAGAACATGGCAGTCTGGACACAGAGGAGTCTCTTAAAGATAACCTCGGGGAAGTGCCAGTTCGTGTTATCTGGAGGATATTTGAGAGTAAACTCTTGCACCAGTACAGGCTGGAGGCCATCTGGTCGGAAAGTAGTTCTCCAGAGATCTTGGGGGACAGCTGACCATGAACCAGCAAAAATGTTTTTGTGCCCAGCAGCTTCCTGGGCTGCATTAGGAAGAATGTTCCCATGAGGTTGAGATCCTTCCCCTCTATTTGGCAGAGGTGAGGCCACATCTGCAGTGTTGTGCTCAGTTCTGGGCTCCCCAGGGCAAGAGGGGTGTGGACTTACTGGGGTAAGTCCAGCACAGGCCCCAGAGATGAGGAGGGTTCTGGAGCATCCTTCCCATGAGGAGGATCTGAGGGAGCTAGGATGTCCAGCCTGGAGAAGAGGAGGCTCAAGTGTATCTTGTCAATGTACATAAATACCTCATGGGAGTGAAGAACAGGGAGACAGACTTTTCTCAATAGTGCCCAGTGACAAAACAAGAGGCAGTGGGCACTTGGAAGTGAATTTGAACACCAGCAAATGCACTTCTGCTGTGGAGAACATTGAACACTGGCATGGGTTGCCCAGAGAAGTTGTGGAGTCTCCATCCTTGGAAATAATCAAAACTTAGCTGGGCATGGTCCTGGGCAGCTGGTTTTACATGCACCTGCTTGAGCAGGGTAAGGGACAAGAAGATACCAAGATGTCTGTTCTAACCTAAATGAGACTCTGATTCTGTGTGTTCCTTTCTTCCCCTCAAAAAACTAACCAAGATGAGACCCAGGTCATTCTTGAATTTATTGTTGCATTGTATGGTTTGTGAAGTATGTTGGAAAATGAAGCTCTGAGCTGTATATCTGTATTAATTACCTAACAGTTAATTTCCAGTACAGCAGTTAATTTGAAAAATTAACTTGTGGAAGAAGCTGTAGAAGGACTGAGACATATTTGCCCTTTCAGAGAAGTATAGATTTTGACTCTGTGATTCTATCCCAGGCATGTCAGTGTGTTTTTTCCTAAAAGCATTTTTTTAAAATGCAGAATGTTTCCTTCAGAAACAATTTTTTACCCTTACAGATTTCATCTGTTAAAAAAGAATCAGCATGTTTTCTGTTGGAGACTGCTGACTAGAAGATCCATTTTGTGTCCCTGCAGATGACCTCTCTAAATTAATCGATCTCAGTTCTAATGAGGTGACCTGTTTAAAATAGCTCTCTGCCGGTGTGTATTTTCATGTCTTTGGCATTTAAACTTTGAAGTGCATCTATTCCTGGGATTTTTAGAAATTATCTTTTATTTCCTCTTCAGATTTTTCTGAAAAATGCTGGTGCTTCAGCCCAGTATTGCAAACCAATTTTGGTTAGAATGATTTTAAATATAAGCCCCTTTTTTGTGGTTGTTTGTAACTGGTTCAGTATTGGATTTCTCAGGGTCAGCACCTACGGCAGGCTGTGCTGTTCATTCCCCAGTTGGGCAGTGCACAGCTCAATAGCTTTTACATTATGCTCTGACCACGCAGGGGTGGAGCAGATCCCTGCTTTCCGAGGTCAGTTGTGCAGTTACGTTTTACAGGACGAGGTAAAAAAAAAGTCTGTGTCTGATAATTCAGAAAAGCTGCCGTTAAAGGATAATCAGTCCACATAATCCTTTGCATTCTGCTGAATGCTTACGTACTGGATGCTACTAAACTGCACGCTATTTTTGTGGATGGAAAAAAGAATTAAATAATGGTTGAACTTTTATGACACTTTAAAGATGGACTAGCTCTGTATTATTGTGACTGTGTGTGTCCACTCACACTGTGTGGTGCTTACAGGTTGGTTTAAGAAAATGTGTTAGTTAAGAAATATTTGTTAGTTAAAGTTAGTTTATGTGCTCCTAAAAATTTAGGAGCCTATTAATAGTTATGTAGAACAGCTAATGAGGAGAGAGGGAAATATAGAAAGGATATTGCTTTCTGAAGATGACTACTCTTCAGTTCCTGTAGCATAAATTGTAAACTGCTTCCTTAAATTCTTTTCCTTGGAAAGTGAGAAAAGCGCAGTTGTCTGCATGTCATTCACTGAAGGTCGCTAGTGTGTTGATGACTGTAATAGCTGAGTTGTGGGTTTTTTTGGTGACCTTGCACAAGTCCTTAGAATAGGGAAAGTTAAGGTAATTAAGATTTTAGTCTTTACAGTGTGCTCATTAAACACAATTGATCTTAATGTTACATTGTGCTCATTCTCCCTGATGAGCAGAAATGCTTTTATTTAAAACAATGCAAATGCTACTTTAGTGAGCACCCCAGGTGTCCATAGGGTGGCTTGCTCTGACCGTGGATGCTTTGCAGGTAGTAGAGAGGGGTAATTTCACAGAATATTCTGAGTTGCTTGCTATTTTGTTAGTAACAGTTAAGAGGCAAGGAAAGCCTAACATCTGTTTCATCAAGAAAGAAGGAAAGAAGCATTTTCTGGCCCTGGGTAAATGTGCACTCTTTGGGAGAAAAAGAAAATTCTTAGTATGTCATTTAGTCTGCAGACTGGTAATGGGTAATTTGTTTTCTGATGCTGTTAGCAACTTAAGGCTATGCAGCTGTTACATGTTCATGTAAGGAGGACAGAAAGAGAACCTGCTAGCATGTTCTCTTTCTGTCCTCTTTCTGGCTCCCTTGTGCACACTCACACAAATTTGTGCCCCTTCCCCTCCCTCCTGGAGAAGCGCCGATCAGGATATCCTCTGGGAACAGCAGCACCATTTCCCAGTTGGAGCTGCGTGCATTTAAGCTCCCTGATCTCAATGCCATGTGACTGGAAACGCAAGGAGCAGATTGCCATCCGGTGCACACTCCCCAACCCCTCAGATAGCAAAAAAAAAAAAAAAAAAAAAAAAAGAAAAAAAAAGAAAGAGAAAAAAAGAGGGGGTGGGAGTGAGGAGGGGAGGTTCCCTTGCTTTTTTTGTAGCGCTGTTAATTCTTGCTGGAGCTTGTTTGCCGCAAGCTCGGTTCATGGCAGGAACAGAGGCAGCGGAGCCTATTCGGTAGCTCAGTGCTCTCAATGAGGTCAAGCTGCATCAAAGGGAAGCCTCCTGTGGAAGCATCTCCTGTAAGTTCTGATACTGCTTTTTCCCTGCTACCTCCAAATAAATCATAGCCTCTATGACTCTGCCGGGCTTCAGTGCTTTATCCCTCGCTGACTGATAATTTTGTGTGAGGTTGTCAGGTTTTATGTTAATTGAACTTGTCAGTGAGGCGTCAGTTGGGTAATAATGCTGTGCATTTTGGGAGAAAGGGGCTTATCTTCTCTCCTTTTATTTTCCAAGGGAGTGGGAAGAAGAAAGTGTGGTTTTGTCCTTTTGAAAAGCTCCAAGCTGTTGAGGTTACAGCTCACCTGATTCTGTTTTATGTAATCTACATATTCTACTTTCTAAATAAAGCAGCTGTAAAGTGTATTGCAGATGTCATTGGGTTTCACCAAAGAGCTATTATTTTAGGAATAGCTACCTAAACATGTAAGTAATTAAAAAAAAAAAAAAAGAGAAAGTACTTTATTCAAATCTTGGAAAGCTCCGTAGTAACTTAATTTCAAAGAAACTCTCCTTACACAAGCTGCAGTTCACCAGAGGGGTCTCTAATGTGATCATTCAGAAATATTCCTTTGAAACCTAATTCTGGATATTAGCTGGTTTTAGTGAAACTTTTCAGTTGCGTAGGCTTCCACACTGAGATGAAAAATTTCTTGTTTTATGTAATGAGCTAGCTGTTCCTGCAGAAACGCAATTTAGCATGAAAGAATGCTAGCTTTTACAGAAAGTGTTGTCTCATTTACAGCATGGAATCTTTGGGCAATAATGACATGCTAGGCTGTAATTTTTCATCTACATAACCCAGTTTTTTTTTTCCCTTGAAGTACAAAAAGCTTACTTGAATACATATCTGGAAGGCTTGCAGAGTGGTTTCAATGACTTGAACAAAGTAACTACCACCTGTTTGGATTATTGTTAGTTATACATTGTAAACCCTGAGGAAAAATAAAATATCACAAGTCATTATCCCTTTTGCTGTAAAGTTCCTCTTGAGGGGACTGGCATGGTGTCTGTCTATTGATATTCAGCTTGTATTTTTGGAAACTCAGCAGCACAGGCATTGTGCTGTAAGGTGATGAAGTGTTGAAATAGTTATAAAGAGTAATGGCACTGCTCTACTTCCCAAAATCTAATGTTTCAGAGGTATGTTCTTTAATTATAGTTGTCTTTTTATCTTCTTTAGTTAATATCTTGACTTTCTTAAATATCTAACTTTGAAATTGGATAGAGAAAGGAAAAAAACTGTGAAATCAGGTCATGCAGCATCTATGTACAACATGAATATTTGCTGGGGAGATTTATGAAGCAAATTTGAAGACTCATTTTCAACTGCATGTTTCTATTTAATGATGACTTGTTACTTAAATATGCTATGAGATTTATCTGACATGACTGCAGTATAAATATGAGAAGAGAATGTGTAAATTAGCATCTCATACTTAGTACTCTCATTCTGAGGAAAGGATCAGAAATGCTTCATGAACCCATCACTGGATTTTTAAATTTAATTTGACTTCGTATCTTTTGTTGGCTTTGACAGAGGCTGTCTTCAGTTCCATCAAGACAGCTCCATTTTTAAACATATGTAGTGGTGGAAAATACCCATTCTGTATGTTTTTGTCCAGATGGTGACGCTTCTTTTCATTTCAGCATTCAACTTCTGAGTTGATCCTAGTTGAAGATGAAATGACAGATACTGAAGATAACGAAGAGGAGGATTTAGGAGTCATGGATGATCAACGCAGTGTAATTCTCCATCTCATCTCTCAGCTCAAACTTGGCATGGACCTTACCAGGGTATGAACACTGTATCTCTTTTATATTTGTTCACTGTTGTTTTTATTTCTCATCCTTCTGTGTGTTTATGTGCACAGCCAGTTATTGTGAGTGTGTTTTGCCCCTGTGGACAGTGAAGTTTTCCTTTTTATAAAAATGTGGTCCCAGAGAGCTGTGGAGTGCTGTCTCTTGCTAGATAGGCTTTCACATGAAGTGGCCACATCAGATATTTTAGAGATGGAGGGGAGGGAAAGAAAAAAAAGAAGAAAAAATCCTTCAGAACTCTTGCTTATTTTTTTGCAAGTCTTTCAGAGAGTTACTTTCAGAGTAACCATATGTTGTGTATGGAACCCACAAGTATGTCAGAGTGCACTGGGGGTTGGAGGAACAATAATGGCAATTGTACGGATGAAGGATATACATGTTCACATAACTGCTTTGTGGATTGGATTCCATTTAATTGCAAGTCAGCTTCAAAGAAACCCATGATGGTCAAGAAATTACAGTCTTCAGTGTATCAGTTCTTGTCAGCGTTGAGCAGCTCACCAGTTTAACCTTCTGTGCATTCTTCTGGTCGTAGAACCAGTATTGTCACAAGCTTGTCCATGATACAAGCAAAGAAATTACAGTGTCTGAGAAATTTTCCTTTAAGTCCTTGGAGTTTTGGAAATGAGGTAGATATTAAGGAAGCAAGGAGTGCTTCTTTTTGAATAGTCTTGTATTCCAGTGAAACCTTCTCATGGGGCTTAATAAATAATCAAGGAGATTTTTGTAAATATATGGAATATCCTTCCCTTGCATACGGGTTTTCTACTTGAAACTCCCCCAAATAGAACTCCTTTTGTCCACTTTTCACAAATATGAGCTCATTCTGACACTCTCCACAAGTAATACAAAGTTTGGAAGGACCAGAGAATTTCTTTGGCATATGAAGTAGTTTTGCAGGAAGTTATTTTCATGGAAATTTTGATATTCTGAAGAGTTCCTCTGCTTTTCTTTTTGTAACATTTTAATCAAAAGCTATAAATTTTTTACAAAATAAAGTTTTCTCAGTATAGTTTTTCCTGCTTCCTCTGGAACAATTGTCAGTGTTTTAAAATAATTACAATATTAAGACTGAGCAATTCTGTGTTCTGTTGCTGAGCAGCTGCACAGAAATGAATGTTTTATTCTAAATAAAATGAAAGTTTCATAATTTCATTTTGAATAATTTATACCTCTCACTTTTTAGTATGTCTGGGGTTATATACAGTTCATTTTTGGTTTTGTTTTTCTTACATTCTTACTTTTTCTTAGCTCTTCCTCTTTTCTCTCTTGTTTTTCTAAGGCTGTCTTGAGTCCATAATGTTCAAACTAGGCTAAGATTTCTTATCCGTGGTTCTTGTGTCTTGAAAACATTTTGTCTTTGTCTAAAGACATGGTTTTTCTGTCCTGATTTTCACCATCATCTTCTTGTCATGGCAGAGTAGGCAAAACCCAAAGACACACAGTTAATGTAAGTAGGAGAAATTCCTGTAAATAAGAGAAAAGTAGATACTTATAAGAAAAATATGAAGTTAAATACATATATGATGACCTGTTTCTTATATAGTGTTCTTAGAGCACAGTTTTTATAGATAATGATAAATGTTGAAATGAGAAGAGCTACAGGCATACGGCAGAGTTAGATCTATTTGTAGTCTGTGTGATGCATGAATACACATATGATAAGTATTAATGAGACATGCCACATGTGCACATCACTTTTCATGTGCCCATTTTGAGGATTAAAAAAAATACAGGACAGCTGGCTGCTTTTTTTATCAACTTTGCTTACTGACATGAGGCCCTTAGGGCCACTGACATGTGACAGTAAAGCTGGGTTTGTTGGCTGCACTTCTTTCCATTTTTCATTATTGTTCTAAAAGTCAGATTTCAGAGCACCTTGATGCTCATCACCTTCTGCTGGAAGTGGTTGTGGCACAGTTGTTGCTGATATCAGAGAAAATGTTTCCATTTTCCTGTGCCTTCTTCCCTAGGGCTGTGTCTTTGGTTCATTCTGAGAGCTGTGGATTGCTGCGTGATACTCACATGAACAAACAGCTTTTTCTGAGCCCTTGGTGGTTTGGGGTTCTGGATGCATGAGCATTACCTTCACATTCCATATCACAGGAAACAGCATCTTATCCTTATGTTAGCCATGGCCTTGCCTGTGCTGACAGCAGTTTCCCACAGTGAAGGCAGCCACGTTAATGTTGTGGAGGTGCCTCACTTCTGGAATGTGTCATACTGCTTTGCCTTTTAGTGAGGAGTTAAGGAGTAAAAACTGCTGTGAAGGAGAACACCTGCAGTGAAGTATCAAATCTGTGTGGGGATTTGCTAGAATGGGCTAAACTTCATGGTGGCCAAATAGACTTCAACAGCTGCTGGAGAGAGTTGGGTGGGAGCAGTTCACAGCAGCAGAATGTGGTGCACATCTGATGCTTCAGACTGGGATAGGACTTTCAGCCTCATTTAAAACTAGAATTGCTGGGGAAAAAAAGCAAGTTTCTAAATTGTTTGTTCTTCAGACTTTTAAAAAATGAGAAATGGGGCCAAAACCCACTAACAGTCTTTGTTGGCAAATGGCATCTAATGGATTGCAGTTAATGCTAACAGCTTGTACAGATGGGTGATCACTCCCCTGCATTCCCTCACCTTCCTTTACACAATTAATATGTGCTAAAAATAAAGGGCTGCTATTCTTTGTAAAAGAGCTGCCAGTAATTCTGCAGAATGTCAGCCTGTTGTAAATTAACATTGTGGTGTGTTCATGATGTCATAAGTTTTTACTTTGCTTGCCAATATTCCTTTACCTTGCAATTTTAAAATGTAAGTGGCATGGAAATAGCTTGTTTTATTCCCACAATGGCACAGATGACAGTGAAAAGGAAGCTTTTACACCTCTAAGAGAAGGATATCTCAGCATGAGGTACCTTGGCTGGATTTCTGAAGAAATTAGGGAATGATGCTGATACCCATGTTTTTCCTCACAGTAAATAACAGTGGGGATAAATATCTCTATTCTTAAGACATTGTGCTCATTTGTCTCAGTTGCATTCAGATCTAATTAAGTGAATTCAAACCTAGGAGTTTATAATCAAGTTTTCAACCAGTATTGTCTTCTTAACCTCGATGAAAATGGAAGAATGCCTCTTAAACTGCTTTCTTTTCATCTGAAGCCTGAGAGAGATTAAGAATAGATTGTTCTAACATTTTAGAATGAAGTGAGGTGATTTTTTTTCCTTCAGACTTCAGCAACTTGGTATTTCTTCCAGAGTGTTTCTTTTGTCCAAATGATTGTCATGCTGGCATTTTCTCAGAGGAAAAAATTAGTCAGTTTTGACTTCTTCTGCAATTAAAAAAATAAATTCATAGTCCTGCCCAAAGCCAGTATAAAGAACATAGGTCCTAAGTGTATTTTTCTGGACACTTCATTCTGTCTGGCTGCAGAAGAGTTGAAAACCTCATTCCTTTAAAAGCTGGAGTGCTAGCACAAGTGCTCAACAGCCTGGTGTTAGCAAGAAGAAAGCTGTACAGTTGCAAATTTATTTATTTTTCTTATTTCTGCAGAAATCAAGATAGGGCCAATTAAAAAAAAATATTGGTGTGATTTTTTTTTTTTTGCTATGTTAGTGTGTGGTGGTGTTGCATATTGAAACTTTGAGGCTATGAGATTATTTGATAAAAGGCAATGTTCTGTAGGCATATTTTGTAATACTGCAGTTGTGTAAGCTTTAAAAGTCAAATATTTCATAGTTCTGCCTCCTTGTGTGGAAACAATTCAGTTATTCAGTGGATCTGTTCCTGCCACAATTGAGGATTTAATTTCCAGCTTAGTTAGGCTTTTAAAGCAAGATCATTTGAGCTGGAGTTCAGGCCTGACTCAGATTTAAAATTGATTCTTGAAACTCAATAGTTAGAGTCAGTGATTCATCACATCTCACCTGGTGGCAGTGCTGCTGTAGCTGTGTTGAGCAAAGCACCCATCTGGGACTTCAGGGAGGAGATACCAAGATTCTGTGACCATGACAGTGGGATGAAACCATGGCAGTATTAGTGTTGTACCATAAAATCTGCATCATCTGAAGGATGGTCTGCAGTTTTCCTCTCCGCTGTTTGTGCTAATAAAGGTCACTGTCTTTAGAGAGGGGCTCTTGGACATGGTGAGATGCAGAGTGCTGTTTATTCAAATGAGTTTGCCCTTTCAAGTCTCTGCAGTGAACTCACAAAGGCACTACTTCTATTTCTAGACAGAAAATATGGGAGATTTTTTTGTATGTTTTGCTGTCACTTTCCCATCCTGTAACCTGATCTTTTAGTGTATAATTTATATTAAAATGAGATCCTGAATTGAGGATTTCAACTGCTGAATTGCGTTTTCCTAAAGATTATATTGGATAATGAATAATGGTCAGAATGAGAATGCTGCAAATAAGATGGAATTGTTTGAAGAGCTAAAAATTAAAAAAAAAAAACTCTACTGGCTTTCTGCTTTGCCTTCAAAGTTTTGGATTTCATTTTGAAAACCAATCTCCTCAGCCTGCCTCGGTCACATCACTAGGACTGTAGGCTGTCATTAGCACTCAGTCTGCCACACATAGTGTAAAATTAAAGTGCTCCATCATTCAGGGCCTCAATAGGTTGGTAGCAGAAATCATGTGGAGTCCTCAAGACTTAGAGAGTAGAGTCAGAGGAATATTACAGATGGAACTTTGCTTGATTTATATCTGAACTTGTAAAAATTATTAGCCTATAAAGGGCTGTATGTGTGTAAACATAAAATAAAGAAGGAGAGAGCCAATAAGCAGATAAGTTTCCAGATGCAGCAGTTCTCTCTTTTTGCAGAGAGGTGCTGTGACTTGCTGTGTAGCTGTAAAGACTCTGTTCAAGCCACTGTGACTGGAATTCTTGTTCCTGTTTACAAGTTCTCTTTGAGAAGAGCTGAATGATTAATAAAAGTTTGAAAGCTTCTATTTCATTATCCATGGGATCCAAAAGGGCTGATCTGTGCTTTGGTCCCACTTAGAATAGCAGGCTGGACCAGCAGGGGGAAAGCAAATGTGTTTGTGACAAACAGTGGCTCCCTGCCTGCTGTAAATAACCCTTGCTTTTGGGAAAGGGAAAAAGTAAAAATTTAAAGTGAAGATGCAGTGAAAATGTAAAGAGGAAAGTAGAAGAGTTGCTGTAATAGAGGACAGCAGGTTTGCATCTGGCCTCATTGAGCCACTTGGATTCACATAAGATAAATTTGTGTGTGCCAGAAATTCCTTTTGGTCATGTGAGAGCAACCCTTGAGCTCCTCTGTAACAGACCTGCACAAAGTGGGGAGCATAGGGGCAAAGAAGGGAGAGAAATAAATCATGTTCCTTAGCCCTTGTTTGCCTTGCAGTGCCCTCCAGGATGCTTCAGTGGAAAATTCCAACAAAGTGTTACTGTGAAGTGAGTGACCTTGGCAACATCTGCGTTGCTGGAGAAGGCCCTTGAGACTGTATCCAAGTCACCTGGGGCTGGCTCCCTCGGGGCAGACTGCCTAGTGCTCAGCCCCAGGTTTTTTTCTGGGCCCATGGGAGCCTCTCTATTCCCACGATATGAATGTAGTGGTTTGTGCAGTTTGTGTTCCAACTCGTCTGAAATAAAGCAAAGCCAGGCAGGTGCCCACCACAGTGACATGGTACCATCTGAAACTGAGGGGGTCTGCCATGGGCTTGGGGGAGACAGGAGATCTTAGGGATGGCAAGGGATTTGGCTTGGGAATTGTGGGGGTGCATGACATATGACGATACTCTAGGGCAAATGGGGACTGCTTTCTTGCCTACAGCCTCTTGGGAAGGCTCCTTGGGGTGGTTTTATACTTGGAAATAAACTTGATATTTGGTTGTGGTTGAATATCCTTGGGTTGGATTGTTAGAGGCTGGAAGGGACCTAATCCATGTAGAGTGGGTAGTCAGGGGCCCAGAAGTGAAATACGGGACAGGGATGTTTGACAGAAGGGATGGATGCACCCCTTACAGTCTCCACCACTTAGAGGTTGGTGATGGGTATGTTCACATAAAACACTCATCTTCTGGTGGTTTGGGAGGGTGTGCCCCTCCCATTTTGGACAGTTATGATTAGTTTGGTTTGTTGACATTTGGTGTACAGTAGTTTATATCAAAGTATGTTTTTGTGTCCTGTAAACAAAGAAAACAATGGCTGGTTTGTTAACTGAGAGGAGAGGAAAAGGTGGGTTTCCATGTGTGTGGAACAGCCCATCCCTGTTGTGTGAGCTGCTCGTGAAAGTCATGATGGTCTCAGGAAGCAGCCTGCATGGGTATCAAGGCCACTGCTTTTTCCTTCACTCATTATTTACACTGCAAAATAAATTGAATTGTTGTGGCATGGGAGGGAAATATGCTATCCCAAAATTTGGCAGGGTCAGAATTACAGCTGTCCTAACTGTTCCCTCTCCCCCTTTCCCCTCAGTAGTGTGATCACAGGGAAATCATATATGCCTTTGTCTGCTTTACATACAGGTAGTGCTTCCAACATTTATTTTGGAGAAAAGATCCCTGCTGGAGATGTATGCAAATTTCATGGCCCATCCAGACCTGTTTTTGTCAATTGCAGCTGGAGCCACTCCCGAGGAAAGGATTATCTGCTTTGTGGAGTATTATCTCACAGCTTTTCACGAAGGCCGAAAGGGAGCAGTTGCCAAGAAGCCCTATAACCCTATAATTGGTGAAACCTTTCACTGCTCGTGGGATGTGCCTAGAGATAAAGTGAAAGCATTCAGAACTAATGGTGCCTCCACGGTTTCTAAGGACTCAGCCAAGGAGCTTGGCCAGGACCAGTCCTCATGCTACAAGCTGAGGTTTGTAGCTGAACAAGTGTCTCATCATCCACCAGTATCTTGCTTTTACTGTGAGTGCAAAGAGAAGAAAATGTGTGTGAACGCTCACGTATGGACCAAAAGCAAGTTCATGGGCATGTCAATAGGTGTTTCTATGGTAGGTGAAGGTAAGAAATGTGCTTTTATTCTGCTTTTTTTTAGCTAATATTTCTGGATGTCAACAGAAATCCAAATGTTTTCCTACTTGCTCTCCCTCTGACCTTTCATTTGAACCTTATGACTGTTTGCTTTTGTGAAGTTTGGAATTAAAACTGTAGGATTCATATAACCTTTTGCTGTCCAGACAGAATGTGAAATGCACATTGCGCATATAAACTGTGCTTATATTGATGAGACTGGTAATTTATGTGGCCAGACTTCAGAAATAATTAAGTCATAATAGCAAATGACAAATTATGGCATATTCTGTGAGATCATTTTTGGTCACTTTCAAAGTAATATGGGATTTGGTGTTCGTTATTGGAACAGAGCAGTGAGAAGAAATGCATTTTTACATAAACCTGACATTTGTTTTTCATAGTTTCTGCAAAGAATCATGATTTCTGTAGTGTTTGAAAGTTAGTGTATTTTCATAAGCTTTCTAGAAAGTCACATAGTAGAGGTGTGAATCCTGATTTTCCATATCATACACATGCAGTCTGCATTGTGATAAATCACTGCCCAACTTGAGTTCAGAAATAAAGGGAGTCTTAAATCCTTAATGGATGATCTGAACTGATGCACACGCTGGTACCAGTGTTGTCACTGACTGTTAATGCATTGAGATAAGTGTGTTTCTAAGCAATTTAGTCCCTTTGGCCATTTGAGGGCAAGATGCTATGTATGGATTTTAGTGTTTTGTCTTAAATAGTTTTTGGACTGTAGTCTCAGAAGTATGAAGACAACTTGCTTCTTTTTGTCACCATTATGTTAAATACTATGGTATTAAAGGCAGTAAAAAAGTGGAGTGGGAAATTCAGTGGTTTATCTTTGCTTATTAATAGCAACAAAATAACTATGGTGAAAAAATACAGGTATATTCTGCTATTTCCACTATCTAAAACTAAAGACCAGTGAAAATATATTGGCAAAAATATATTGCCATCCCTGATGGCAATATATTCCCTTTTTTAATAGAAGAGGCATGAAACCTCCTTACTACTGGTTTTGATACCCTTGTGATAAAGTCTGTGTTAGCATTTGTGTTTCCTTCTTCCTGTGGCTTAGGTATTTTGCTTTGAATACGGAGTTAAGGAAGTGGGGAAGGGAGTGTCAGAATGGAAATTGGTCTGTCTGTCCCCTGCCTGTACTACTGCCAGCCTGAGTCACTGGCTTAACATTCTGCATTTTGCTGGTACATGTTCGTTTCTAGTACTCTTTTGCTGAGTGAAGGGAACTATTTAATGGAAATAAAATTAAACACAAAGTCACTTATGATTATGTAGGAGTAGGGAAATTTCTTTTTCTTGCTGCTAGCGCACACAGTTCCCTGGGGTTGAGGGTGTCTACTGTGGGGATTATTTAAGACTTCAAAGTCCTGATGTGTCCCAGTTTTGAGAGAGAAAGGGTCTAAGAATTAACTGCTTACTCACTCACCCCAAGGACTGTTTCATGTGTGCTTGTGGGAATCAGTTCCTCCCTATGCTCTTTCTTTTTTTCATGATCCTGGAGACGTCCCAGGAGTGGAGGCGGGCTTTGGGGAACATCTGCAGTAGCAAACTCTTTTATTCCAAGGTTTGCTGCTGTCTCTGTGATGTGCATGCTGGGAGGAAGTCTGGGTTCACCAGTTCATAGTTACTATTCATCTTCTTGTTCATGTAAGCAGTGCAAGAGCAGGGACATTCACAGTGACAGCATTTCTGGGAAGTGATGGAGACACTTCAGTGCAGCCCAAGCATTTCTGTTGCATGTTGAGGATTGACAATGGGCAGCAAGAAGTTGTACCACTGAGGCCTTTCTGTCATCTGAAAACAGCAAGCCTAAGCCTGGCAGCCTCAGTTTAAAATGCCAGCTTTGCAGTGCAGTTCCTTCACTTGAAACTGCACTTTCTTAAATTTTTTTTTTTTATTTATTTTAGGTCCAGGGAAGTCTTCCTGATTAAGTTGGTGTGTGAATTTGTCAAGCTGTGCAAAAGTTAGAATCCACTGCAGATGCTTCTTTCTTATGTGCTGCATAAGTATAAATTCTGTAGTAGATTGAGGTCAGTGTGAGTACCGGGGAATAGATTGCTGAACTGACAAAAAGGAGCTGTTGGACTAAAAGTGTGGAAAATCTAAGCCTGTGTTTTTGTGCCTAGTAGTGCAAGGCCTAATAATTTTCGTAATGTGAAATTTAATTTGAAATTTTTTTTCCTTGTGTTTAGGGACATATTAGAGATGCAACATTTCATATGGGGTGAATTAGCCTAGCAAAGTTAGTGAGTTGGGCTGTGGAAAGGTGCTGATAGTCAGAAGGCACATGAAGCTACTTAAGGTAGGTAGAAACTAAAGTTAGCTCCTTGGAGAGAACTGCGCACACCAAGGTTGGCTGGTAAGGTTGTAGAATCTTATTTTAATCTTTTAAAAGCAGATTGAGTTTATGGGGAATGAAATATCATTCTGCTTTTGATGACATCCTATTTTTGATGAGAGACAAAGTAACATCTCGTGGATCCTCAAAATCTCTGGGTTTTAATTGTTGTGGGGGTTTTTTGCTACTGTGCATTGGATGACCAGACTAATCATGTGCTATTGTTGGGATTTTGTCTTGTCTCTTACTCCTTTTTTTTTTTTTTTTTCTAAATTCTCCCTCATTATGAACATTCAGCACTTTTTTTTTGCCTGTTGCTGGAGTTAAATTACGTACATGTGTGGGTCTTTCACTCTTTGTAAGAGCAGAAAGGATTTTAGATGTGGCATCATGTTACTTGACAGACAGTTTCCTCGATGCCTCTAAAATACCTGTGTCTGTTTTGAGTCTTGGGTTAAATAATTCTGCTGTTGGTTCAATATTAGGTTCATTACACTACAGATTAAATCAGTACTAATTGATATGGGAGAGGGGAAAAACATCCTTCCAGACAGAGTGCTAGAGAACTGTAATTAATGCTTTGGGTAATTTAGTGACAGTGAGTGACCATCTTGTTCTAGTCAGATATGTATCACAGCAGTTCTGTCTGACCAGGTTGCCCAGAGAAGTTGTGGATGCTCTGTCCTTGGAGGTTTCCAAGGCCAGGTTGGATGGGGCTGTGAGCAGCCTGGTCTGGTGGTAGGTGTCCCTCCCACAGCAGAGGGTTTGGAACAAGAGGATTTTTAAGGTCACTTCCAACCCAGGCCATTCTATGATTCTGTGACAATGACCAGAAACTTCATTGTAGCCTAATGTTGAATACAAGCAACTGAGGTGTGTTTTGAACAATCCAATGTGTCCCTCCAACAGTTCAGTGGAGCTTTTTCTACTGCAGTTGGCTATTTGCAGAAATAGAGTAGTACTGAATTTTTGGACTTACAGTGTATGAAGAATATGGTAATGGTAATGTGTCTGTGGAGGCTTTGAATCATATTTTTATAGCAAGCCCTTAGATGTATAGAGCACATTGCTTTTTATGCTTTTTATTAGAAGCTGATATAGAATGTCATGAAGGGTTTATAAAGGAATTTATAGGATTAGGGGAGTTAAGGATGGTATGGTCTTGGCACACAAAGGCTACAGCTCAGTGTCTCAGTGGTGTGATTTTTTGTGTGTGTCACATCTCAAAGTGAGTAAGATTTTTTTTTCTGCCTGTGGTTTTTGTTTGTTGATTCAAAGTAAGTATCAGATGCAGAGATGCAGAACAATTGGGAGAGCACTGCTGGAAATCCGTGTGGGGAGCTGTTTTATGTTCTAGCCTTTCTTCATCTCTGGTTATGAGTGCTCTAAATCTGGCTTGCTAATGAAACCTTGCAACTTTTCTTTGCTCCGTGACAAAACCCCCATTCTTCAGAGTAGTCAGCACTGAGTTTCCTCATGAGAAAGCCACCTGGAATAGAAAAGAGGTTATTTTGCATAAAAGAACTGAGGTTGCATGTGCAGTCCCTAATTCTGGTTAATGTTAATTATATACTAATGAAAGAGTGAGGGAGGAGATGAGGCTCTAATGAACAGGGTCACATTAAGATTTAAATTAGCAAAGGATGAGAAAGTCAATATAAATATTAAATGGTTTTTATGTGGTCCATAGAATCTTTAAAAGGATACTGGTTGTGAGGTAAGGGTGCTGTGGTGAGCACACCTTAGTGTCAGCTGTGCCTGTTCCTTTTCTGCTCTTGGATTTTGGTTCAGAGCAGCAAAAGCCAACCAAAAGTGTAATCTTTGATTTATGGGTTAATTTTGCAGAGAGCATAAAGTACATTTCAATGGATTGCTCTGTATTGTCAAGTGGCTAGTTACATTTGATGTTTTCACTTCTGCTATTTTAAATGTTTTAAAAAGTAGTGAGGTATGGGCTTCCAAAAATTATTTTTTCTCAAATGAAATCAACTAGAAAAGATCTGATAGGTGGGTAAAAGTTTCAGTGCTCTTTCAGAGTAAATTTAAAAGAAAGCAATGAATGTTTTTTCCTCTTTTTTTTTCTTCTGTTCAAATACATGTATGTGTATGTATTAATAGATGTACAGATCTATAATTTCTAGTACTGAGAAATGAGTGACTTAAAATTTATCAGTCCCAAAGCTTGATTGCTCCATGCAATTAGAGCTACCTAAGTATTTCCCTAAGTACTCATTTTTGCATTAATATTTTTAGCCCAGTGTTTTTAGAACCATTTTCATATAGCATGGCACTCATTACCTAATTTAGCAAATGGTTCCAGTCTTTGAAAAACGAGCAGTGCTCAGCACAGCTGCCTGGAAGGTTTGAGACAATAAGAGCCCAGTTCTGGCATTTCCTGTTTTCCTGTGGGGATCTGGGCAGTTGGTGATGCACAACACCCATGTGGGGCTCATCCTACACATAACTTGCTCCTCTTTGTGTGTTGTGAGAAACACAGACAGGGTGAAGAGCTGCTTAAATGCGAAAGCTGCCCCAGGCCCCTGGTGTCCCACGTGCCATTTGTTGTTCAGATTGATCTCCATGCAGGCAGTGGGAAGCATTAAATCCCACATGTCTCTTCTGCAGTCTATTGATCCAGAGCCTCCTCTGGGGTTTTTTGTCAATATGTGTTACTGGGAAATCAATTCACAAAGCTGCAGCATCAGTGAGGGACATGTAAGAGTCAAACTGGGAGAGTGATGTGCCAGGCCATCGCTTCCTTTAATGCAGGCCCAGGGGTCATGGATAGGGGTATGACTCTGAATACATTGCTGGAGTCAAAAGGAGGAGTAAATGGTGTTGAGGACATTTCAAGGGGGAATTTCAATATCCTGCAATGGTTTTTGAAAAATTCAGCCTTCTCTGTAACATTTTTTCCTAACAAACCAGATTACTAAATCCACTGCTCCTCCCAGAGTATTGGTCTGGTGTATTCTTCCTTGTGTAGTTGTTGCCTATAAATACTTTAGATTTTTTTAAAGGAATTGGAAGTTTTTGAAAGAACTCTTTGATATGAGAGGAAAAAGTAAAAATGGAAGAATATTATACAGCTTTACATGTGTTTTATTTTACACGTGTATTTACTTATAGCCATTTTCAAACTAAACTTGAATCATCCCTTACAGCAAGGAAGCAAAGGAAGAAAAATGACTTGTGTATTTTCCAGCAGTTGTTTTCAAAGATCAGTTGCAATGTAATGATTATGAGCAGATGTAAAAATGACACATTGTAAAGTAACTGTTAGCTTTCAGTTAATTGGCTTTTGATTTCTCAAGATTGACACTTTGCAGGGTGGGGAGTTACTTCAAATTGTGGTACCTGTTACAAATGTTGAATCTCAGTGCAATTTTTGGCTTCCTCTCCCCTAAGGGAGCACAGGTCTCTGTTCAATGTGGTGCTGCAGCTGCAGTGTTTGTGGTGCTTCATTTACACAAGGTTTTGCATGTGAGCTCTGTGAACAATGGAATGCAAAAGAGTCAGGTTAATACTAAAAGTATTATCAAGTCATGGGTATTTCAGATCTGCCCTTTAATCTCTTTTAGACTGTAATTATAGAGCTGGAGTCACATTTCAAGTGAGATAGCACTTCATTAAAAAATGTATTTATTCAGGTGTTCAAGGAATTCAGAAAATATGCTACCGGGTGCTAAAAATACTGCCAAGAGAGCTGGGTTCAGTTTTTAATATCTAACCTGCTGTGGTGGTTAAATATTTACATTGAAGGTCACTACTGCTGTTTGCTCTGCACTTTAAATGTGCTTGGCAGCACTGCAGCTCTGAGCCCCTCCCATCTGACTAGGGAGAAAAAGGTCTTGATCCCATCAGGGGGACAGAGGCAAACCTATACTGACCCATAAAGAAATTGTGTTTATCATACCAGTTTCCTCTCACATGAGGAATATCACATACAGTGATGGTCAGAGGAGGATGGGAGATGGAGGGAGACTTTTTACAAGGGCATGTAGCTACAGGAAAAGGGGGAATGGCTTTAAAATGAGAGTAGGTTTAGGTTAGATATGAGAAAAAAATTCTTTACTGTTGAGTTATTGAGGCACTGGAAGAGGCTGCCCAAAGAAATTGTGGATGCCCCATCCCTGGAAGTGTTCAAGGCCAGGTTGGATGGGGCTCTGAGCAGCCAGAGGTGAAAGGTGTCCCTGCCCATGGCAGGGGTGTTGAAACTCAATGATCTATAAGGTCCCTTCCAACCCAGGCCATTCTGATTCTACAATTGTTTTTTATTAACTTAATGCTATTGTAACATCCATTTAATGAGTTTGACAGCCAGAGTAGTTTTTTGAGTATGAGTTATTCCTGGGTGCATGTCCAGGGTGAGCTGGGTGGTTCAGCCTCCCTGCAGTGTGTTCGGCTGGGATGTCTGTGCAGGTGTGAAGCCGAGGAAGCTGGAGGCAAAACGTGTCTGTGTGTTGTGGCTGTGTCCTCCTGGCCTGCCCCTGCTGCTGAGGACTCAGCACGTGACACGAGGAACTTGTGGCTTGCCAAGATTGAATGATTAAAGTCCTTTTGAGACATGGCTTTTCTGTGTGGTTTTGCACTCCCAGCTCCTTGTGTCAGAGCTGCTGGCGGGAACATGCTGCCTGTGTCACTGCTGGGAGGCTGAGGTTGCAGAGGTTCTGAGAACAACTGCATGGAGCTGTTCTGGTTTGCAAATCTTTTCCTGTGAAATAGTTCAGAAGGCAAGAGTGACAAATTGCAGTTTCCTGTCTTGTATTTAGTTTTGTTAGCTGGAGCCAATATTCAAGATCAGGGCTCTCTTAGAGCTCTGTGCTTTTAATTTGGATGGTGTTTTAATTTAAATTTAGGTTTCCATGCAGTGTTAAAGGCATATTTTCATATTGACAGCAGTAGTGTTGTGTTCCTATTTAATGCTTTTTCTTCATTAAATGTGAGACCACTTTGAAAAAGTAGTGTCAGTTTTCCCTTAAACAGATAGATTAATCAATACCACTAACAGTGTGTTCTTCCCCTGCCTGCCCCAGGGTGAAGGCAAATGGGCTCAAGCTTATCTTGCTACTAAACCAATACTATTACTGTGTCAAAATAACTTTCCTTTTTTTTTTTTCCAAATATTTCTGGGTTGTGAGCTCTTCCTGTAATAGGTTATTTTCAGTCCCTGTTGTGAAAAAATATTTTCAAAGCTGTCATTTTTGCCTTTAGGCAGTTAGTAAATGGGACACAAAAGACTGTAAAACTCTGGTAAAAAATACACTGCAGACATTTGGCATGATCTAATTCTGCGTGCAAGGTTTATGGTGCTCTTTTCCTGGTCTTATGTCCTGTTATCCTGAAGACCAAACTGCAGTTTTTATGGGGATGGCGTTGTATCCTTACCCCCAGGGGAAACTGCAAAGGTCTGATCAGGAAAGCAACTTTCTTTGTGCAATTTCCAAGTAATGTTGAAAAACTGCTGCTGTTGTGTGTTGTTTTTAGTTACAGCCTCATGGTGCTGAGGGTGGAGGAACCTTTACAGAAAGAGATGGAATTATCAGTAATTTTCTGTGCCTGGTAGGGACATTGGACTTGGTGCTGATAGAGCACTGGCCCTGCTGGGCACATTTTGAATAAGCAAGATTTTTTCAAAGCCTGTATGAGAAATCAGCCATTTGGAAATTAAAGAGCAAAGTTAATAGGAAATTTGTAGTTGCCATGTTTTCTTGTTGTAGCCACAGAGACTTAGAGCCTTTTACAACATCAAGAGGGAATTAGTGGAGGACATGGCTGTTTCTAACTGAATGGAGAAGTGAACAGTCCTTTGGCCATGCCCGTATTTTTTCTGGAGGGAGATTATGATACAACACTGACAGAGCAACTGAATTTTCAGTATGGCTTTTTAGATGCACATTCTATGTTTATCCAGCTTTTAACACTAATGCAAAGTAAGGAATCCAGTCAGAATTTCTGAAAAGTTGTTTGACAGCAGTCGGTATGTCAGGGTGCACAGTCAAATGAGATGCTTTTGAAAATGCTTGTTGGAAGAAACTTGTTCCAGAGAGCAGAGTTTCTTAGCAGACAGTGCTCTCCTTCAAGGAGGGCTGTACGTGCTCTCCATGGATGTGCATTTTGATGGTGCTAATTGGTCAGTGACCAACAGGTCTTATCACAGAACCTTTTCTCACCTCACTTTCTCCTCTTCCTGCACAGGTGTCCTTCACTTGCTGGAACATGAGGAGGAGTATGTCTTCACCCTGCCCAGTGCCTATGCTCGCTCAATCCTTACCATCCCCTGGGTGGAGCTTGGAGGGAAAGTCAACATCAGCTGTGCCAGAACGGGCTATTCTGCCACGGTCACGTTCCACACCAAGCCCTTCTATGGAGGGAAGGTCCACAGGTACAGCAGTCACTGCCTTACTCTTGTTTACCTGCTGCTGCATTTCAGGAGAAGGGCTCTGGGGCATCTCTTCAGTTCTCCTGTTGCCATATTTTATAGACAGATAGCTGAAGTTCTTTTCCTGTTAGTGCTGGAGATGACTTAGAGCTTGAGGGCAGTTTATTGTAGCAATACATATGATGTTGTTTAACTGAATTGGATGTATTTCTCTCATTAAAATAAAGTGAATGTATCTCTCTAGCCTTTGTTGCTTGTAAAAGTTGCTGTAAGTGTAGGGTCAGAAAAATGTGCGTGGAAAAGGCAATATTTCTGCTACCCCAGCTGCTGCTTCTGTGTGAGTCCTGTAGATGAACTGGTGTTCCAGGTTGAGCTCCTGAAAAGTGTCACTACCCATTGTGGTACCTCCCTACTGGGGACTCCCCATCTCTGCACTGAAATTCCAGATGGTGAAAATGTTACTTATCTTCTTTGGTTCCCCTTCACTAAGGGTGCAAAGAGGCACTGTGCAGGACAGCCTCCTGTCTTGCTTCCATGCTCAGGGTGATGTCCCAGGCATTAACATCAGATCCCTTTCTTGCTCTGCTGTGGACTGTTGCAGTGTCCAGAGGAGACTGTGCTTTGCATGGTTGCCTCTGTTTTATTTCAGATGGTGTAACTGTTCTGCCATATGTGTGTCAACCATTTCAGTGTTGTGTTCAGGTAAATGTCCACATGAGGCTGTTTTGACAGGGCTTTTCTTTACAAGTTTTAGGTTAATAATTGGTGCCATCAGGGTGAGTAAAATTTTGGGGAAGTTGTGCTGTATTACTTTAGTAATTAAAAAATTGAGTTTACACATTACTTTACATGGCTTTCTAAAGCACATGTATGCATGCTCATGGACACATTCACAAAACTTCTCCCTGCATTTCAGTTTTCCAGTCCTACCTGTCTATTTTGCTCACTCTCAGACCAGTTCTTTGACTGGTGAGGTGGCTTTAATCATTGCCTCTCAGCAGCTGAGAAGTGAACATGCAGAGCTAAAGAAGAAAACAAAGATACCCAAAGTTTTTGACGTGGGTCTCTGAGCAGCATTATGTTCAGGCATGAAAGTATCATGTATTGAAAATGTCACATGAATGTCAGGGATTGTTTTTCAGGCTGCTGAGGTAACCATTTGGTTTGGGTTTGAGCCAGGTATCACAGTTTTAAGTTGGATTACTACTGTGTTTAGCTAGAATGTCATCCCAAAGCTGTTGCTTAGAAGAGCTTTCTTGGGATGAGTCTTTCTTTTTCGGAGGCAGCATCAGTGCTTTGCTTGAATAATTGATTTGTGGAGGTAGAAAGCTGCTTGCACCCTTAGCAAGGTGGTGCTTTCATGTGCTGATAATAAATGGTACCAGTTACGTCTGTGGTCTGTTTTTCCTTCCCCCTTGAATCAGGGTTACGGCCGAGGTGAAGCACAATCCAACGAACACCATTGTGTGCAAGGCACAGGGAGAATGGAATGGCACCTTGGAATTCACTTACAGCAACGGAGACACCAAAGTCATTGACACCACCAAACTGCCTGTGATCAGGAAAAAGATCAGGCCCATAGCAAACCAAGCGCCACTGGAATCAAGGTAAGTGTGTTGGTGTTCTCAGGGGTTCCAGGACGAGGGAAGAGATGAGATTGTTGACTCCATGTTTCAGAAGGCTGATTTATTATTTTATGATTTATATTATATTAAAAGAAAATGATATATTAAAACTATACTAAAAGAATAGAAGAAAGGATTTCATCAGAAGGCTAGCAAGGAATAGAAAGGAATGATAATAAAATCTTGTGACTGGCCAGAGTCCGAGACAGCTGGACTGTGATTGGCCATCAATTAAAAAGAACCACATGTGACCAATCAAAGATGCACCTGTTGCATTCCACAGCAGCAGATAATTATTGTTTACATTTTGTTTCTGAGGCCTCTCAGCTTCTCAGGAGAAAAAATCCTAGCAAAAGGATTTTTCATAAAATATGTCTGTGACAGGTAAGGGCAGAGGCTTTGCAGTGCTATCCTGAACTTTGGGTGGGAATAGAACAGGGAAGCCAACTGCAGCTCTGAGTGCTGTGGTTCAAAAATTCCTTGCTTCCCACAGCACAGAAATCTGGGTACAGAGAGCTGAGGCTGTGTATTGGTTCCTTGGAGCATAAATTACGCTGTAGTGACGAGTAAATCAATTTTGTAGATGGGGGAAAGGCCTGTATTTGTTTTAATGAGCATCTGGAAGATGGTAATGCAGTGTTTTCATCTGCTTCTTGGAGTGATTGCAACATGGGAGGCAAATCAGCTTGTTGCAAGCAATTCAAACTGGTATATATATTATATGTTGCATATCATTGAAACTGGTGCTTCATGTTTTATATATTGTAGAATATGTATTTGTATAAACATATATGTGAGGCAATATGAGATATAAAGACAGACATACAGGTGGTTTTGAGGCTCTTGGCACCTACATCATGTGCCTAACTTGGACTAGGTACATTAGAAAAACCTGATCTGTATTCACTGTCAATAACTGTTCATGTTTATCTTCAGAAAAATCAATACCTTAATTGAATTTAGGAACATTTTATTGAAGGATTTAAAAATATGAGTTAAACTACATTTTATTATCTGTAAATGTCTTTTTATTTTGCAAAGGTGTCTTGAGTCATTGTGCAGGGTCAGATACAATTTGTCTACTTTCTGGACCACTTGCTTATCCACAAACTCATTTTTCCCCTCTAGTGTGGAACATAAAGATTGTAGTAAATAGGGAAACCAGTAGCTTTTCAGTGTATTTATTGTGTTTTTTAGATACTAGTCAGCAAATTGCATCCATCCAGTGGCTCTGCAGGATCTGCAGTTTATCACATTGTGAACACAATCTCATTTAAACAGCCCTGGACATATGTGAAAGCTATGGTTGTTTTCAGACAGAGAGCAGTTTGGATTAGATATTAGGAAGAAGTTCTTTAGTGTGAGGGTGGTGAGGCACTAGAACAGGCTGCCCAGAGGGTGTGGATGCCCCATCCCTGGCAGTGTTCAAGGCCAGGTTGGATGGGGCTTGGGAGCAGAGTGGTCTAGTGGGAGATGTCCCTACCCATGGCAGGGAGGGAGGAACTAGAGGATCTACCTTCCAACCCAAACCATTCTAGGAGGATTTTTCTCAGTGCTTTTCTGGGCAAAGCTTCTGCTAGGCTGATATAAGGCATGATCAGCTATGTGAGAAATGTGTAGCTCTGCGCTGGTAAATATTGTAACTGGGAATATGGAGCACAGACCTAGAGTGGCTCCCTAGAATCAGTTCCTCTGGTAGTGACCTTGTTGGACCAGTCAGTGTCCCAGTTCAGTGCACTCTTGGGTTTTGGCTGGCACTCCCTTATAATTCAAAAATTTACCTGCAAGAATTAAACTCCTGTTATTTGGAGGGTGGAGGAACATCAGTAAGGAATGTGAACTGGAAATGGCAGAAATAAATCCACTGCTTTGAGAAAAAAAGCTCAGGTGGTGACGAGAACATAAACAGAGCCTGCTGAGAAAAATGCACAGCAAAATACTGGGTGAATCTGAAAATGTGAGTGAATCTGAAAATCTGGTCCACAAATGTGTTGAATATCCTAGGAGTGTGATGGTTCCCATGCTGTGGGACTTGGAAAACCAGCATGGATAGCATGGCCTCAGGCTGCTGCCCAGCAGTGTGGTGTCCAGCAGCAGGGGCTGTGGCAGAGCTGTTGTCACCCTGCCCTGTGCTCTTGTCCCTGGGCAGGCGCCTGTGGCAGCACGTCACCAACTCTCTGAAGGAGGGCAACATCGACGCCGCCACGGAGCACAAGCACCGCCTGGAAGAGAGGCAGCGGGCGGAGGAGAGGCAGCGGGCGGCGCTCACAACTCCCTGGAAACCCAAATACTTTGCCAAAGAGGTACTCAGAGTCTCTTGGTTTAGAGACCTTTAGCAAGTTCCTGCACAGGGGATGAGTGAATGTGGATTTTGTCATGGGCTGGTGTTGTTGTGTACCGCTGATTGCTTAAATTTTCTTTTTGACAGTCTGGCTCTTGAATGAGAGCAGTGGGCTTTTCCATCTCTAGTGGACTTGTTCACTTCACTTCATTTAGATTGATTTTGATCTGGATTTTTGGTGCCTAACGTTAGGCACATAAAGTGATGTGTATTTCTGTAAAATCCAGCCCTTACTTCTCAAATTCTGCATACTCACTTCCCCTATAATCTTAGCATACTAAAATGAGAACAATGTAGGGAGATTTATCCAGTGTAAGTAAGCATTGACATCCTACACACAGTCTTGGGTTTCATCTGTGTGAAAGGAAATGAATTTTAACAAGTTCATCTTTCCCCTTTCTTGGAGGAAAGGTGGAGAGAAAATGAGACTGACTGTGGGAATTGTTCCATTAGCTGCTAATTAAATTTGCATCTTTTCTTATTGCATCTCTTCCCCCTTGTAATATTTCCCTCCCGCCAACATTACTTGTCAATTCTTTTAACATAGAATTTTCAGGTGACAGGGATGGCTTCTTGTTTGGTCTTATTTTAGCTTTTGTGTGGACATACATGAATCTGGTATTTGTAAATCTTGTTTGTAAAACTCTGCTTAATTTTCTTACAGGGCGACGGTTGGCTGTACGTGAATCCTCTCTGGAAGGCCCATTGACAGGAGAGAGCAGTTGCCTCCTAAGTTTACCTGAAAGGCATTAAAATGATACAGTATGTCACTTCAGGATGTCCTTGGATAGGTCCTGTTCCCAGAAGATCCCCATGGGAAGCTATGTACTGTGAATGATACATCTCACAAAAAGCACGAGCTCGAGTTTATTCAGGAGCCATTTTGTGTGTGCAGATCCACAGGCACACAGGCACAGGTCCCTCAGTACCACGGTGTGCATGTGTTGTGTGTGTTATTTACACTACATGTAAACAGTACCAACACCAATAGCGACTCAAAGACCTTTTCCTCCAAGTGTTAGGGCACAGAACCCTGGCTGGACTCGGCCGGGGTTCCCTGAGTTGTGTGCTTGCAGGATCAGGCCCTGTGCTAGTATTTAAGAAAATACTTTTTTATTAGTACTGGTTAAGGTTTTTCTATTTTTCACTTTTGCCAAAAATGTTTTGCACTTGAAACGTGACGTGTCTGTTAATGGCAGTCGATCTGTCTGAGCAGTCAGCGATAGCTCACTTGGGTGTAAGAGTGATCCACTGGCCGTGCTCGCTCTGGGTTGCCCAGGTCAGGGCGTTTCCTGCCACTGATGAGTGTGAATTTCCTGCCACCCTCTAAGAAGTAGCAATACCTTCTCCAGAATGTTGTTCTTCACACTAACCTGTTGTGTCCTCACTGCTTTGTCTGTTCATGCTCCAGCTCTTCAGTCTGTCTCTGGTCACCACCCCTGAGCCAGCTGCTCTGGTGACTTTGATCTTGCTGTGTAATGTTCTCTGGCTGCTGGCATGCCAACACTTCTGGCTTACATGTTCCACTAAATGGGATTGCTTCTGATAAAACATCTGGATGAGTAGAGGTGATATAACTAGCATTCCCAGAAAAATGATTCCCTGATGTAAAAGTAACAATTTAGTAAATTATTCCACCGGGATAATAACTTTATGAATGAAACAAATGAAATGGGATACAATTTGTTTTGTAGTGTTAAAAAGAAAAATTAAAGAAAATCCTGTCATTTGATCTTGCTTTGTAAGCTGTGACTTACAGCTTACTTTGTCTTTTGATCTTACTTTGTAAGCTGTGACACTGACAAAGTGGATTTTAGAAAAGTGTTAAGGTTTTGTCGCTTTTTCGTTTGTATTTGTTGGAAATGAAGATGTTTTTGAGAGAAGTGGCAGCAAAAGGCACATGTAAAATGTGCTCAGTGCCCCTTAACAAAACCACTGTATTTCTAACACACAGTAGCATGGATGCCCATCTGTAGAGCTGAGTAATTTTGTGCCTTTTGTCTGCTCTCTTCATACACTGACTTATGCTCATACTGCAGAGATATCCAGGTCACAGCACTGCTCACATCTGTCCTTGTGCATCCTGCATTTTGTGTTTTTGGTAGATGTTAAAATCTCTTGAGCAGCTCAGAAGGCTGAGTGGAGGAGGTGTGTGCACAAGGAAACATTCCATTAGTTGTTCCTTTGGATTTCAACTTCAGGTCTCAAAATGAAGGTGTGGCTACTTTTTCCTCCTAAATCTATTTTGTCCTCTTGTCTGTCTCTTTTTTTTTTTTTTTTTTTTTGCACATTAGGAAGATTTGTGTTCTAAATGATTTAAATCCTATTTTTTAAAAAAAGTGGATTGTATGAGCTTGGTTTTGTAACTGACACTTTTTTTTAAGAGGAAAAAAAAATCTTATTTTTTAGGAACAGTTGATGTAACAGTTTTCTGTAACAAAACCAAAATGATGCTGTTGCAGTCATCACTGAACTGCTACTGAGTATCATCAGGAACACTTGTACTTTATCACCTGCAAGAATTCACTTTATAATGGATCCACTCTTGTTCTAGAGATTAGTCTGATAAGTACCTAAGAGTATTCCTACAGTTTGTAGTGTCATCACAAAGAACAATGGAAAAAGCAGAGTTAAACATGGAACATCCTCCCAGAACTCTCTCACACACCAAAGAACAAGACACATACTCACTAAATAGCCATTGCAAACCTCTGTGTCTCAGGCATGCAGGCCTGGGCCCCTGAAGGAGTAGACCTCTTTCAGCTGGGATGGTGTGACTGTCAAGGCTACAGAAATGCTGTAGCTGTTCTTTTGAGGAGAAATTTGAATAATTTTCTGCTTGTAATTTATTGAAGATTTTCTGTCTGCATGGTTGGTTGTTTCTGCATGCCGAGGACATTCCACTTGTGCTCTGGCCAATGTTTTGTTCTGTTCTGATGCTATGAAGAATCCCCTGATGCCATTATCTTCTTTCCCAAATTATCTTGGGAGACGCGAACAGAAAAAGTCCTTTCAGAAAAGATCCCATCAGTGAGAGATTCCAGGACAAGATTCACAAGTGTCATGTTATTTTTCTGATAGTATGTGTTCAGTATATTTTGCAGGACTGAAAAGTAAATATTCATAAGCCTTATTCTGTAGGTTGTTCCAGTAGCTGTCTTGGAATTGCAAGTAAATACTTTCCTTTTCAAGTAGCTGATGTACACTGAATTGTAATGTAAAAACTTTCATGTACTTCAATATTTTTTTTTTTTGTGCACACCTGTAGAAAGCCTATGCAACCTTTTTCTTTCTTAAATTAGAAATGTTCAGAAAGAAAATTTATACCTTTATCATTTAAAAGATGCTCTGGCAGTCTCTTCTGATTTGCCTTCCTTTCATAATTTGTGAATTTAAAATGAGAATGCTCATGAATAAAAGATTTGTTTCATTTAGCAGTGGGATGCCCTTTCTCTTTCCATGGAAGCCTTAGTTCAGTGGTGTCAGTCACTGACTGTCCAGGAGCTGTGTATGACACCCGACCATGGTTCCCATGGAAGTGATTTGCTAGGTTAATCTGGGTTTGCTGTGAGGCTTTTCCACCCTGCTTATTCTCCCAGACACTCTGAAGGTAAGTTTTTTTGGTTAAATTGGATAGCTCTGCCCAGGGAAAATGGGGCTGGGCAGCAACAACAGCTTTAGGAAAGGCTGGGGAACATCTGCTTCATTTTGGCAAGTCAAAAGGAAATAGGTAAAGGTGTACCCTTGCTTCTGAAAATCCCATTTCATTTAATCTTCATCACCAACAGGGATTCTTGATTAGAACCTCTTAAAACACAACTCTACATTATTACAGCATTGGGCACTTGTGTGAGGAGAAAAAAATGTTCTTAGAGGAATCACACAGATTGTGGTCAGCATTTTTCAAGTGTTAGATAATGCCCTTCTGCTTTTCTTTAAACATTCATCCACAGTGCTGGAAACAATCTTGCTGGAACACTTTGTTTTTATGCACAACGGAAAACAACACTGCCTGTAAAGAGGGCAGGAAACACTGCCCAGCCCTGTTCCTTGCCTTCCATGGCACTGCTTCAAGGCCCCATCTTGGAGCAGTTTATCCACTTGGGATAATGATGTGAGAGCGTTTTAGTCACAGCCAAATGTTATTTTTTTCAGTTTTTACTCCTGATGAGACTGGTATGTACCAGGAGCTCTGTCAAAGCATTTAGCTGCTTTTTCAAGAGTAAATCTATCAAGATATTTAATTAACAACTTTTCTCCTTGTTATGAAATTACTTCTGCAAGTCAAAATATTTCTTCTGGGATTACTAATAGCACTGTCTGTCTCACTGCTCCCACCACTAATGATTAAGAGATACAGAACCTAGGCAGTATTATTGAATTCTAGACACTTGCAGCTTTAGTTCCTTAGCAACTGCTGACCTGAGCCTGGCTCACGTGTCTTTTGTTATGTTTGGTTTTATTGTTTTGGTGTTTTTGGGTTTTTTTTTACTGTTTTGTGGCAATTATGCTTAAAAATTTGACATAGTAGAACAACAAAAGGAAAAAGGATGGCTGGAGCTAAGGAAATAAACTAGTCTGGGAAGTGTGTGTGATGAAGAGAGAAGAGGCTGATAGTCTGCTGGTAGAAGCTCTGTGCAGTTCTCCCAAAGAGGCAGGAGTTAGTTCAGCTCTTTGATTCCAGGATCCAGCTGTAAACATACCCAGTGTGCAGATTCCTGAGGAACCAAGGTGAGACAGTGCCAGGTCTTCTTTGTAATGTTGCTTTTTCTAAATGGATACCTCAATGACTCCCAACTTTTTCATTTTAACTCCAGAACATTGGCAGAATCCTTGGATTGAAGTCATGTTAGATTTAGGCAAAAAGTAAAGCTCAGGTAAGTAGGAGGCAACTTTAGGCCCAGGTTGGCTGGGATCCCTGCAGTTGGCTTATTTTTATTTCACATGCCTCAGATTCACTTGTTCCTGCTGTTAAAGAGAACACTGCTACCTAAGGCTGAAGACAGTCTGTCCAAATGTAAAGGTACAAATCTGGTACAAGTCTGTCCAAATGTAAAGGTACCTGAAGAGGGGAGGGCAGTCTCTTGTATTTCCTTTTTTGAAACAAGGCTGAGTTACTGCCAAGCCCCGGACTGACTGGCAGCCTCTGTCCTGCTGCCTTTCAGGTGATGTTCCAAATGTTAGATCCTTAATTTCTCACCCAGAGTCAGGATGCAGAGGGGCTTGGAAGCAGCACAGCACTGGGAATCGTGCATCACATCATCACTCAGCCCTTCTGCTGGTGGGTGAGCAGCTGTAGCAGCTTGGGGAGCTCCAGATGCTGCAAGGAGTTGCTGCAATGTGTGGTTGGGAAGGCAGGCTGCTCTTCCCTGGAAATATGACAGCCACCTTCATTTCATCACAGCAGAGGCCCTGGATTTGTCTTAGTTTAAGCTGGAGGGAGTTAAGAAGATGCTGTGGCTTCACTACAGCAGCTTGGTGAAGGCAGGAGATTTGCAATATGGAATTCCAATGTCTTAATTTATGACTAGGACTACAAACAACATGTTACCAAGTTACAACAAAACTGACACAACAGCCTTAACACAAAACTTGAATTAACTTTATTTTCCCCTACAGTTGACAACTGGTCTGCATTGAGCTTTAAAGCAACAAAATAAAATGAAATCTCCAAACGACAGGGGCCAGAAATCCAGATTTAATTACCTTTGTGAAAATGTTGCAGCTGTAATATTGGTCTGTATAAACCACTGAAGTCAAAAATGAGTTCATAAATCAAAAAAATATTCTACACCTTGGGAAAGAAGTCAGCAGTAACATTCTCACAGAACACTGTAAATTTACATTTTCTTCATGAAAGGTACATACTATTCTGCATTTTACATCAAGTTATTGATGCAAGATTTGTTTCTATAAAAAGTTACAACCTGTGGCAGGAAAACAAACTGCAAAAAAACCCTTTCATTTTAATTAAAGAAAAATTTCAAGTCTGTATAAAGTTTCCTTATGTCTGGAAAGTGAACACGTTCAGTCTCCATTTATATTTTAGTGCATTTAATCTGACAGTTTTCACCACTTAAAAAAAAAAAAAACCCCAAACCGAACCAGTATAAAAGACAGACAAAGCAAATAGCACTAGAGCAGGAATTTCTTCAATTGATTTAAGCACTCCAAATAAAATGCAGAGAAACAGATTTCCAGAAAAACTTCCACCCTCACCAGAAAGGCAGTGAGGGTTGAGAGGTTTGCAAATCTTCTACCTTTAATAGCCACAGAAAAGGGGTTTGTATACCTGTCAACCTTCTTTTCCCCAGTAACCAGGCTATATTTGTTTTACCAATGTAAACATTCACCTAAAAGTTTAATTTCTGTTCTGAAGCACCAGCAGCTCCATGGTGCTCAGCTGTATGTTGTTATAGCATTCATTACTGTCGTTTCAGATCTTTCAGGAGGTTACAAATTTAGCCCTTGTATCTACAGTGTGCAAGATTTGCCTTGTCTACCTTGTGAAATGACAGTGTAAGGCAGCAATACTGCAATCCCGTGTTGAACAAAAGCAGCTTGTCCAATTCATCTGTCCTGTCACCTCTTGTGAAAACTGCAGCTTTGCTTCTTACACTCCAGCTCAAAACCAGCCTGCAGCAAGAGTAAAAGGACACTGAAAGAAACCATAGAAAAATAATCATGGGAGTAACTTGTTTTGAAAGTTGAATTTGAGAGAGCTCTGCCATCTCTTTCTT